TAAATTTAATAAATATATAAATAAATATCAATATATATATATATATATAACCGACCTAAATACAAAGAGTTGGGACTACATATCCCCATTTGATTAATTAAAAATTTTAATTTCTTTATAAAATTTTAGATAAAATTGTTAAATACTCTATACTAAAATTAAATTTACTGCTATATAAAATTTTTTATAATTATATATTTTTATTAATTTTTTATATTATATATATATTAATATTATTACCTTTATTCTAATTTTTGTATATACCACTGTATACATATATACATATATATACACTATACAAATATATATATATATCATATGTGTACACGAATATTATACATATGAATATGTATGTATATATGTAATAAATATGCATATATATATATATATCTATGTATATATATATTTATATTTATTTTGATATTAATTTTGATTTTTTATATATTTATTGATTGTTGGAAATATATAATTTTGTAAAAATGTGAGTATAATATTTTAATTATATGTACTAATTAGTTATGCTGGTCAAATAAAAAAAAATTATTCAAGATTGAGTGATTCAACCAATAAGAAAGGGAGTAAAACTCATTTTTAATTCGAGTTCGAGTCTTCATTTGAGAAATGATCTTCACATGGACTTCTCCGATCATTTGGAAAATATAATCGGACTAAAGATCCGGTAACTTTCAGATGATAAAAAAAAATTTGTTTTCTAATTTTTTGAGACGCCATGTTAAAATACAGTTATAGGAATTGAAATTTTATTTTGGGATAAAAAAGAGTTTAATAATAGTCAAATATTGAGAAGTTTTTTTTACTATGATCTATTGGTTGGTTGATTGGGTAAGAAATTATTTTTTGTAATCAGAAAAGATGCAAAAATGATATTTAAATATATTTTTTTTGTAAATATAGTATTTTTTTAAAAAAAAATTCAATTTTTTAATTAAATATGGTATTTTTTAATATTTTTTTAAATAAGAAGTATTTTTTAATATTGTTTCCTCCTAATAACCCATGCAGACAGTCACCTGCATGCTCACCACAGTCAAGTCTCGTCTTCAGAGCTTCAAAATAGAGCTTCCCCTCCCTGCCTCTCTCTCTTCAATGGCGCACTCAAACTTCCGCTTCTTCTCCCTCATACTTTTCACTGTCTCTCTTCTTCATCTATCAACCACGTCCCGAGTCCAGACTCTGTTTATCTTTGGCGATGATTTCTATGACGTCGGAAACAAACAGTTCCTCGCCGGAAACTTAATTCCGGCGAATGCTCATCCCTACGGCGTCGCAATTCGCAGCGCCACCGGGCGGTGGTCCGATGGGCTTGTCGTGCCGAACTATCTGGGTGAGCTACTGTGACGAATCTCAGATAAATTGGGTCGATTTTGGGAACGATTTGAGAAACCTAAAAATCGAAACTTTTGTTTTGTTTTTGGCAGCTGAGTTCATGGGCATTCCTCGGATATCTTCGATTCTCGATTCCAAGTCCGATTTCTCTCATGGAGCGAGCTTCTCCATCGCCGGAGCTACTGTCCTCGGATCTCCACCGGAGACGGTAAGATTCCGCCGCTGAGATTCAGCTCAAAAGAGAGAATTCCCCAAACGAAGTCATGTGATTTGGATTGAACATCAGAATTTCGATTTAGTTACTGTCAATGAGATCTTGTGAGAGTGCGGGAATCGGGGAGAGTAGTGATTGAAGGTCCTTTGGTATGTTTATTCAGATGAAATTGGAAGAGCAAGTGATGAAATTTCATGAAAACAAGAAGAAATGGAGTGATAAAGAACTATCTCAAGCTATCTACTTGTTCTACATTGGCGGTGAGGACTATCTTGACTTCGCCAAGAACAACCTTAGTCCCTCTAATGATCAGAAGCATGCTTTTGTGGATCAAGTGATCTCTGCTATAGACTCATCCATAAAGGTAAAAACTTTGATGAATCTATCTCTCTTTACCATGTTCTTGCTTTTCTTTGAGGACTCAATCGGTAAAGGTAAAAGCTTTGATGAATCTGTCTATACCCTGTTCTTGATTTTCTTCGAGGAATGATGTTTTTGATAGATTCAAACGATTAATGTAAAAACTTTGATGAATCTATCGATACCCTGTTATTGATTTTCGCTGAGAAGTAGAATCTATCAATGAAGGTATAATCTTTGATGAATCTTCTTCTGTTCTTGATTTTCTTCGAGGAACGATGTTTCTTTTGATGAATCGGGGTTTGGTTTTTCAAGGGCGTATATGAATCCGGAGGAAGGAAATTCGCCTTCCAGAACCTGGCGCCATTGGGTTGCTTACCGAACACGAAACAAGAGCTCGGAGAAGGGAGAGATAAGTGCCTGCATTTGCCATCGGAAATGGCAGCTTTGCACAACAAGAAGCTCCTTCAGCTGTTGAACAAACAAGCACTCGAGCTCAAGGGTTTCCAGTTCTCCTTCTACGATTTCTTCACCTCCCTCCATAACCGAGTTGTCCTCCCCAACACTTACGGTACATGCTTTTCTTTTTCTTCTTAACTGCGCACCAAGATGACCCTTTACCCTAAATCAGGGGTTAGCACGGGTTAGATACATGCAATTTCCGAGTTATCCAAACGTTTCAGATCTACGAGATATTACTTTCGAATATTCATGATATTCGAACCCAAATTTTAATATGAAATTTCGATTTCTTCAAATTAAATATCATATACATGTTAAGCGTTTACCCGAGTTAAGTACTCGAAATGTTATAACCGTTGTCATCTTATATACTAGTACTCGGGTACCCGATCCACCGATCAGTTGGGTCCCGAAGTTCAGTTTTTTTTAGGTAAAACTGTCCTAAACTATGATCTATATCCATTTCTTGTATGTTTTTTATTGCAGCATTTACAACAGGAAACGCAGCTTGTTGCGGCACCGGACCTTACAACGGGAGCGGCTGCATGGCCAAGAGCCTATGTGCCAAGCCACAAGCCCACATATTCTTCGACGGCAAGCACTTGACGCAGGAAGCCAACTCCCAAATCGACCATCTCATGTGGGGAGCCACCCCCGAAGTTGTCGGACCGCACAACCTCCGGGAGCTTATGTCACTTCCTTCGGACATTCCGGTCGTTTTCTGTACGGATATGGACAACAGATCTGATGCCATAACCCATGATATCTATGGCATGGGTACCATGGAATTTGGAGGCGAGAACCATGTTGAAGGGGCCGACTCTTTTATCATGTGATGATGATAAACGAGTGTTAGAATGTTGAAACCAATAAATGATGTTTGATGTTATGTATGAAGAATAAATAAAAAGGCTCATCTTTTGGGATGTGCATTTGGTTTGAAGTGAATATATATATATATATATATATATGTATGAGTGTAATAAATAATCCCTTTTTATGTGGTTTGTCTTTAGGCTTTTAAGCGGGGCATTATCAAAAATACCCTTAATTTGCTATATCTACTTCAAGCCCTATCATTGTGACCATGTGACCAATGTGACCGAAATATCGTGTGGTCACATATTGATCCCATTGTTTATAACTTTAAATTTATGATGTTTTAATCAAATGATGAGTAAGATATACAAGGTATGAACATAATGAATTAGTGTGATCATCATAAATTTAACGTTATAATCGATAAAAATCAAAATGTGACCATACTATATTTCGGTCACATTGGTCACATGTGACCAGGGTAGGTCTTGAAGTAGAAATAGCAAATTAAGGGTATTTTTGATATAATACCCTTTTAAGCCAATAATGCAAATGAATACATTATGGTATCTATAATAAACTGATTTATAAAAATCCACGTCAACTTGGAAATAAAAGATGTTGCGACCAATTTTTTATCTTAATTTATTTATTTACAGAGGCGAAAATATTCAAAATTCCAATTGATAGTTTATAACGAGCGCCGGGGCGTTTTGGTAAATTTCCTCCCGTCGTCAGTTACGTGCATTCTGATTCGCGCAGCCGGTAACTTTATCCTCTCTCCGGTGACGAAGCCTCCTCCTCTTCGAATCTTGTTCCGATCTCGATCCAGATCAAGAACCCTATCCCTAATCTCCTTATTCTCCGGTCTCTGAATCCGGCGACTCGCTACGTCCATGGAAGAAGACGACGAGATTCCTCCGGCGACCTTCCATTTACCAGATTTTTCGACGTTGACGCCTCTCACTCAGGCGGAGGCGGAGGTCGGAGGAGGATGGAATACCGGTAATGTCATAGCCTCCGGTTGCGGCGGAGGGAGAGAGGATTGCTGGAGTGAAGCAGCGACGGCGGTGCTAATCGATGTTTGGGGGGAGAGGTTCCTGAGCAGAGGGATTCTGAAGTATGAGCATTGGAGAGAAGTGGCGGAGATCGTGAGCATGGCGGGTTTCGGTGAGTATGGGAAGACCGATGTACATTGTAAGAACAAGATCGACACGGTGAAGAAGAGGTATAAGCAAGAGAAGGCGAGAAAGGCCGCCGGTGGTGGCCCCAGCAGTTGGATCTTCTTCGAGAAGCTTGACCGATTAATCGGAGCCACCGCAAATTTCCCGAGCAGCGATCGTGGCCGTCGTAGAGGAGAGTCCTTCCAGAAGGTTCCAATGGGAATCCGTACGAACAGCCGTTCGAATCTGTACCAATGCCAGACGGAGCAACAAGCCCTTGTGAGAAGGTGTAGTGAATCAACGCCACGGCAGTTCAGGTCGGAATCTGAGTCTGAGACCTCCGGCGACTCCGAAGATAGTCTGCCTCCGCCGCGGATGTTGCCGCCGGAGAAGCGGTTTAAGATAGATAAGATGGGAGGAGGGAGAGAAATGACAGAATTGGCGAGGGCGACTTTGAGGTTCATTGAAGCATATGAGAAGGCGGAGAGCAAACGGCGGAGATGGAGAAGGAGCGGATGAATTTCTTGAAGGAGATCGAGTCGCAGAGAATGCATGTGACATCCTAACCCGTGTACAGTATACGGGTTGTGCCACATGAACGATATAAAATAAAATAATAAGTCGTGGAAGCAAAATCACGAAATCCAAAAACATTTTTAATCAAACTGGAGTAAGCAGCGGAAAATACAAGCGATCAGTATCGGAAAACAACACATGTCCAAAAAGTCATAACATAACCGTACAAAATGCGGGAATACAAGCCCCGGAGTTCAAAATAAAATCCCGTACATGGTGCTGCTTCTCTCAGGCCGTTGTCGTCCGTGCGCTAGGCGTAATCCTCGTGATCTGAAAAATGTAAAACCACGAGGGCTAAGCACAACTGCTTAGTGAGTAGCCCGGGTTGAACCCGGTAAACCCGTTCTCAGTGAGAACGGTGTTAGAACGATGATTCACAATCACATGCAGCAAAGTAACATGCATTATCATATAACGTACATCACACATATAATAACAATCACAATCACACCCGCATGGAGTCCACCATGGGGCTAGCCATAAACCCTAGTCAAGTCAGCATGACTAGGTGCGCATCACACGCCCGCCACTCGCGTGACGTTGGCCGTCGCATCACACGACAATATCGCCTCAAGCGCTTGTCACGTCACGTGACTACCGATGTCAAGTCCATGACACAACGGAAAAGTAAACACACCCGTATGGAGTCCACCAAAGGGTCCAGCCATATACCCTAGTCAAGTCCATGACTAGGGGCACCTTCACGCCCGTCAAGTCCATGACGTTGGCCTTGTCAAGTCAGCATGACACAATCGATCATATCACCCGTATGGAGTCCACCATAGGGTTCCAGCCATATACCCTAGTCAAGTCCATGACTAGGAGCGCGTCCCACGCCCGTCAAGTCCATGATGTTGGCCGTCGTGTCGCACACGACTAATCGCGTCTTAAACATCCGTCAAGTCCATGACGGTGATGGTTGCATCCACAACCATCCACAAACACAATCATGCTTGACTCGTACGCACGAGCAAGCTATACACATGACACACATCATGTGTATATCCCACAGTACAATCACACGTATCACGGTATCCGGTCCCTTACCGATCTACCGCTTAACGCCATGCAAACTACCCCGTATAATCAGCAACGAGTCACTCAAATCATTGTACCGCACATCTCATGCACACGGGATTCGAAAATCATCCGAAAAGGGGTTCCGTACTCTAGAACGGTCGGTCAGGGTGTGGACCGGTCGGTCCAGGGGTCCCATGCTGTCCCGGGGCCGCTCAGGACAATTTTTGAGGTCTCGAACGCAGACCGTTCGGTCTGGAGATGCCAGACCGTCGGGTCTGCAAAAACAGACCGTCCGTTCCAGCTCTGTTCTCTCTCGCGAAACAGTTTTCTGGTCTGACTTCGTTTGACCATATCTCACTCATTTCTCCACCAAATTACGTGTCGTTTGTTGCTAAATGTTCATTGAAATGTCCTCTATCTAATCTAAGTAACAAACCATCGAAATAACACAATCACATCGACGAAAACGAGCTCACACAGACGCAACTCGAGCCACTCACCTCTGTTTCAGCTCAGATCTGGTTTTGGTCGGATTTATTGCCGTTTTCCGGTCTGTTGCTCATCGAAACCCTCTTCTAAACACTCTAGGGATGTCCCCCTTTGAGTTCCCGAGCTCTCCTTGCTCTGGTTCCCCCTGTTTTTCGCCCTTCTTCTCTCTTTCTCCCCTCTCTCTATTTTTCTGCAATCTGTCCAAAAATGGTGAAGTCCCTGACTTGGGAGAGGTTTATGCTGCGAGAGGGAGGTCGAATGGGCTCAAGCCCAGGTCCAAGACCGAGCCTGCATCGCCCTGAACGGATTGGTCAGCGACTTGACGCCGGTGGGCCCCGGAAACGCAGCGAAATACACGTCCCAAGGCAGCAAGTTGGCCACTTGCGTTCTGTCCAGCAGACCTTCCGTTCTGGGCCTGGAACGGACGGTCTGGGCCTAGTTTCGGCCCAGCTCCTCGCTCGTTCGTGGTCCGTTCGTTCCGCCCTTAGCAGTCTGTCCATTCTGCCTTTGTCAGTCTGTCCGTTCTGCATTTCTGGTCCGTCCCGACTGACTTCGATTGCTCCGTTCTCACTCGTTTCTTACCCGAATCGCGCACCGTTTGTTTCTACCCTTCCTTGGTACGTTATCTTTCATGTTCAATCAATAGACTATTGAAAACTCACGTTTACACGATGAGGAACAACTCGAAACGTCCGTACCTCGAATAAAACGTTGATTCAGAATTTCCAGGTTCTACTCAGTTTTCGTTTGCTCATAACTTTCTCGTTTCCCAGTCAAATCGAGTGACGTTTTCTTCTAGATCTTCATTGAAATATTCTCCATGTTTTTAACCTTGTTTTACCTTCCTTTTATTCCCGAAACTAATTTAAATATTTCATACGGGATTCGGGGTATTACAAATCCTCTCCCCTTATAAAGAATTCGTCCTCGAATTCAGAATCTCATGATGTCACCAAGATTTTCTTCATATTCGATATCATCACCCAAAACATAATCCAGATCGTCGTCATCAGAAAACATAAGTCTGATACAAACCGAACGTCATATAAAACAGTTCGTACAACACTCAAGTAAATAGATGCGGATAACTACTACACATCTCTGTCTCGGGTTCCCAAGTTATGTCGGAGACCCCTTGGCTCCGCCACAAGACCTTCACGAGTGGCACTTCCTTCGTCCGCAGCTTCTTGATCTTCCAATTCAAGATCTGCAACGGCTCATCTCGAAAACGTGTAGCCTCTGTAAACTCCAACTCCTGGGGCTGTAGCACGTGAGAAGGATTCGCTACGTACCTCCGCAGCATCGACACGTGAAACACGTCATGAATATTGCCCAGCTCTGACGACAATCGAAGATGGTATGCAACAGCTCCCACTCTCGCGACACGGGATAAGGTCCGATGTAGCGCGGCTTCAGCTTTCCGCTCTGCCCGAACCTCGCATGACCTCGCATCATCTGTATTCAGAGAAAGGCATAATCCCCGACCTCAAGCTCGAAGTCTCGACGTCGCTGATCGGCGTATGACTTCTGCCGGTCCTGCGCCGTCTTCAGATGGGCGTGAATCCTCCGTATCACCTCCGTTGTCTCCTCCACAATCTCCGGCCCGAACTCGCGACGTTCTTCGATCTCTGTCCAGCACAACGGTGTCTTGCATGGTCTCCCGTACAAGGCCTCGTATGGAGACACTCCGATGCTCGTGTGATGGTTGTTGTTGTACGCAAACTCGCACAACGTCAAGTACCAGTCCCACGGAGCTCCCCACTCCATAATACAAGCTCGGAGCATGTCCTCCAGAGTCTGTATCGTCCGCTCCGACTGACCGTCTGTCTGAGGATGGTATGTCGTGCTTATCTTGAGCTTCGTCCCCAGTGCCTCCTATATCGCTTACCATAGGCGTGATGTGAATCAGGCGTCCCTGTCCGAGATGATCTCGTTCGGAACCCCATGTAGATGCACGATCTCATTAATGTAAATATGCGCCAACCGTTCAATCGGATACTCCTGCCGGATGGGAATGAAATGAGCGGATTTGGTTAATCGATCCATGACTACCCAAATGGCGTTCTTCTTGCTTGGCGTGAGCGGTAATCCGACAACAAAGTCCATGGCGTTCGAATCCCACTTCCACTCAAGTATCTCCAGCGGTTGTAGTTTTCCTCCCGGCATCTGTTGCTCTGCCTTCACCTGTTGGCAGGTGAGGCATCTCGCTACGTAGTCTGCCACATTCCTCTTGATCCTCGGCCAAGTATACCACTATCGTAGTCCGCCACACCCGTAACCCGTGTAAGTATACGGGCTGTGCCACATGGACGATATAAAATAAAATAATAAGTCGCGGAAGCAAAATCACGAAATCCAAAAACATTTTTAATCAAACCAGAGTAAGCAACGGAAAATACAAGCGATCAGTATCATAAAAACAACACAGTCCGAAAAGTCATAACATAACCGTACAAAATGCGGGAATACAAGCCCCAGAGTTCAAAATAAAATCCCGCACATGGTGCTTCTTCTCTCAGGCCGTCGTCGTCCGTGCGCTAGGTGTAATCCTCGTGATCTGAAAAATGTAAAACCACGAGGGCTAAGCACAACTGCTTAGTGAGTAGTCCGGGTTGAACCCGGTAAACCCGTTCTCAGCGAGAACGGTGTTAGAACGATGATTCACAATCACATGCAGCAATAGTAACATGCATTATCATATAACGTACATCACACATATAATAACAATCACAATCACACCCGCATGGAGTCCACCATGGGGCTAGCCATAAACCCTAGTCAAGTCAGCATGACTAGGTGCGCATCACACGCCCGTCACTCGCGTGACGTTGGCCGTCGCATCACACGACAATATCGCCTCAAGCGCTTGTCACGTCACGTGACTACTGATGTCAAGTCCATGACACAACGGAAAAGTAAACACACCCGTATGGAGTCCACCAAAGGGTCCATCCATATACCCTAGTCAAGTCCATGACTAGGGGCACCTTCACACCCGTCAAGTCCATGACGTTGGTCGTGTCAAGTCAGCATGACACAATCGATCATATCACCCGTATGGAGTCCACCATAGGGTTCCAGCCATATACCCTAGTCAAGTCCATGACTAGGAGCGCGTCACACGTCCGTCAAGTCAATGACGTTGGCCATCGTGTCGCACACGACTAATCGCGTCTCAAACCCCCGTCAAGTCCATGACGGTGATGGTTGCATCCACAACCATCCACAAACACAATCATGCTTGACTCGTACACACGAGCAAGCTACACACATGGCGCACATCATGTATATATCCCCCGGTACAATCACACGTATCACGGTATTCGGTCCCTTACCGATCTACCGCTTAACGCCATGGAAACTACCCCGTATAATCATGCAACGAGTCACTCGAATCGTTGTATCACACATCTCACGCATATAGGATTCAAAAATCATCCGAAAAAGGGTTCCGTAGCCTAGACCGGTCGGTCCAGGGTGTTCCGGGCTGTCCCGAGCCCTCTCAGTCCAAGTTTAAGGTCTGGAACGCGGACCTCCGGACTGAGACATCAGACTGTCCGTTCTGGGTGTCCAGTCCGTCCGTCCCGGTCCTTAGAGTCCGTCCGTTCCGGCTCTTTTCGCCCTCGCGAAACAGTTTTCTGGTCCGACTTCGTTTGATCATATCTCCCTCATTTCTCAACCAAATTCAGTCCCGTTTGTTGCTAAATGTTCATTGAAGTGTCATCTATCTAATCCAAGCAACAAACCATCGAAATAACACTATCACATTGACGAAAAGGAGCTTACACAGACGCAACTCGAGCCACTCACCTCTGTTTCGGCTCAGATCTGGTTTTGGTCGGATTTGTTGCCGTTTTCCAGTCTGTTGCTCGCCGAAAACCTCTTCTAACTCTCTAGGGATGTCCCCCTTGGAGTTCTCGAGCTCTCCTTGCTCTGGTTCCCCCTGTTTCTCGCCCTTCTTCTCTCTTTCTCCTCTCTCTCTATTTTTCTGCAATCTATCCAAAAATGGTGAAGTCCCTGACTTGGGAGTGGTTTATGCTGCGAGAGGGAGGTCGAATGGGCTCAAGCCCAGGTCCAAGATCGAACCTGCATCGCCCTGAACAAATTGGTCGGTGACTTGACGCCGGTGGGCCCCGGAAACGCAGCGAAATACACGTCCCAAGGCAGCAAGTTGGCCACTTGTGTTCTGTCCAACAGACCGTCCGTTTTGGGCCTGGAACGGACGGTCTGGGCCTAGTTTCGGCCCAGCTCCTCGCTCGTTTGTGGTCCGTTCGTTCCGCCCTTAGCAGTCCGTCCGTTTTGCCTTTGTCAGTCTGTCCGTTCTGCATTTCTGGTCCGTCCCGACTGACTTCGATTGCTCTGTTCTCACTTGTTTCTTACTCAATCGCGCATCGTTTGTTTCTACACCTTCCTTGGAACGTCCTCTTTCATGTTCAATCAATAGACTATTGAAAACTCACGTTTACACGATGAGGAACAACTCGAAACGTCCGTACCTCGAATAAACCGTGGATTCCGAATTTCCAGGTTCTACTCAGTTTTTGTTTGCTCATAACTTTCTCGTTTTCCAGTCAAATCGAATGTCGTTTTCTTCTAGATCTTCATTGAAATATTCTCCATGTTTTTAACCTTGTTTTACCTTCCTTTTATTTCCGAAACTAATTTAAATATTTCATAGGGAATCGGGGTATTACAATGCAGTTCTTGAAAGCCCAGATGGAGATAACACAGATAAGCTAGAGATCATAAAGATGAAGAACATGTAAGCAGTAGCTAAAGATCCAGCAAATTGTTCTTGTGGTATCTTCTATGCTATGATTCTAGATTGGTAGAGTGGATCATAAGGTTGATGGATGTTGTCGAATGTGTAAAAAAATGTCGGAATTGATCGGATGGGCTTCAGTGATTGGTAGATTTGACTAATGTTCATCTTGATAAACAAGGGTTTATCATAAAAGATTCAAACTTTGTAAACCAAGACGCTCAATTTTGTAAAAACTCCTTTATAATCTAGAATCCGGGTTGAGTCTTAAGATAGATAGATATTCATCTAGATTTCTTCGATCATCTAAATCTAAATCTAAGGATAGTATATGTTAATTTTGTTTGAACTACATATTGATTTACAAGCTAAAGTTCAATTATTCGAGGATTTAAGAAAGAATCTATATATACGTATATAGGGGTGTTAATTTAGATCCGATTTTCGAAACCTGGTCTGATCTAGCCCAAAAATTAGCAAATTCCGGGTCTAAATTTTTCGATTTTAAAAAAATCGAACTTTCGGATCGGACTCAAATCAGGTTTTGGATTCGATTCGGGCTGGCCCGAAAACTCGATATTCTTTAAAAAATAAAAAAAATATATTTACAAGGGAAACATACGGACCGACCCGAATCCAAAACCTTCAGACCGAATACAGATTCGAGTCAAGTTGAGTCGGTACGACCCGATTGACAACCCAAAAATATATAGATTCGGAAAAAAAAAGTGAGTTTTGTTAATAAAAAATCAGATATCTTATATATAATAAATGCTATTTAATTTTTTAAAAGTATAACATTATTTATAATTTTTTTGTTCTGAAATTAATTTTGATCAAGAGCGAATAATTTCTAATTCATTCAATCTATTAATAAATACATTAGAATTCCAATACAAATGCAGCCAATTCTCCATTTTATTGAAATAAAAAAGGTAATATGGTATTTTAGATTTTTGTTCCGACTTTTTCTGCGGGCCCATAATTTGTTTATGATTGTCTTGTCCTCCAAAAGTTGGGAAGAAATGGAGGTTATAAATTTATTTATTTTCCTGGTTAGAACTAATAAGGTCAAATATAAAATATTAAATCTGAATATGCGAAAATGATACTATCTCGGGAAATTCTCACTTCTACTGATTAAATCTTTTTTTGTTATTTTTCTTTTGGTTCCTTTTCAAAAAATTCAAGTTTTCTCTCTCAAACTTCACGTCAACCAAAAATGGTGATTTTTGTCTGAAACACGTTCTCTCCCCCCCCCTCTCTAGATTCCAGTTTCTCTCTCTACTGTATCTTTAGAGAAAGGGCGTTTACGGCGGAGGGAGAGAGACGATGGAGAGAGAGGGAAATCACAATCTACCAGCGGAAGCTATTCGGGAGCGGAAGAATTGAAAATTTAGTTTGAGGTTTTGTGTGTAAGCCAAAACAATCGCCATTGATAGGGTTTTAAGGAACTTTGAGAAGAAGAAAAAGCTTAAAACTTTTTCTGCAGAGGCTGAGCAGGAGAAGATAGAGAGAGCCGATAATGAGTGTCAATATTTCAATGTGAATCTGGAAGAGACCGATTCATCAGAGAAACGAGAAGATCTCGCTTGTCTCTACTCGCAGGTGCGCTCTGACTTTGAAGGATCGGACAACCACTTTACTTGGCTTCTTGGGTATATCTGATTCGTCTGCTTCGGACAGAACTTTACTTTGTCTATTACTTGAATCTCCATTTTTGTTTTCTCATGGATGTGATTTTCTTTGATCGTCGAAAATCACTTTCCTTTCCTGAATCGACTTTAGAGTTTCCATGATTTGGACTCTGGATCTAGCAATGTACTTGATTCTGAGTTTTGTGAAGCTTTGGGTTACCATTTTGGTAATCTCTCCTTTAGTTCAGCTAAGCTGCTTAAGGTTTCTATTTTTAGCGCCTGTGTATTGCGATAGTCTTCTATTTGATTTCCCATGTCAATAGGTTAGTCATGAGAAAGTTTTTCCTTTTCAATTTCTTGAGAAGAACTTGGTGTAGCTTTTATAGTTTTAGAGATGACCTTTACCTTGTTGCTTGCTTAGCATCTGAATCAAGGACTAGCCCTTTTGGGAGTGGTGTTCAAGATTGTGGATTAAGGCTATGAGCTTGATGATGGAGATTTTGTAAAGGGTTGTGTAATACCGAGCTGAAGATGAAACCCATTACACCCCTGGACTATGCCATCTTCCAACTTTCCCCGAAACGATCAAGGTAATTGTATCACAGAAATGATTCTTCTTTTCCCGGTTATAGCGCTGGTTCTTGCTAGGGTTTTTAGATAATCTTTTCTTCTTTCATTTTCTGGCAGATGTGAATTGTTTGTCTCTAGTGCCGGGAATACTGAGAAGCTGGCTTCTGGACTAGTGAAGCCATTTGCTGTTCACTCAAAAGTCGTGGAAGAACAGGTTGCCGAGGCAGTCCAGTCTATCAGGCTACAAGTTGAAAGCAACATAAATGCTGAGACTTGGTTCACAAAAGGGACACTTGAGAGGTTTATACGCAATGTCCCGAACTTGACATTCTTGTCTTTTTTTTGGACATCAGGGCTCGTTCTAACACTTTTGGTCTTTTTCTATGCCTTCGGTGTTCTAGGTTTGTTCGGTTCGTTAGTACACCTGAGGTCTTGGAATTGGTAAATGCATTGGATGTGGAGATGTCCCAGTTGGAAGCAGCCCGGACAATATATACTGAGGTAATTACAATCTTTATAAACTTCGATGAAGCAAACTCAGTGTTAACGTTATATCTGTACTGAGTTTTCTAATGTTTTATTTTAGGGGACTAGTGATCAGAAGTTTGCGTCGAGAGGTATGAATGTTTGTCTTCTGGTTGTATTATTCTGTGTATCGGCTCTGAAGGACGGTTCTTTAAAGCGATGTAATGAATCAGACAGTGATGTCTAAGTCAGTATCGACACTAGATAATTATTCTGTCATGTCTTGCTGGGTTTGGCATAACCTGGCTCAGCTTTTCTTGGTTCAGATGGCACGGGAGCTATGGCGGCAGCCGATGAGACAAAGTAAAAACTCTGTTTCTACTACTAACGATCTTCCCTGGATTAGGAGCATCCTTTCAAGGCTGATATGATATTAAGAAGGCTTCTAATATGCTACCATGACATTAGCAATCTCTAATACAGTTTCCATGCACTCGCCTTGTCGTGGACATGCACACATCTGCTCTGACTTGAACGCAAAGTACTCAAAACTAACTTTTCCCCGGTTTTGTACGATTTCCAGGAAGGAGCTACTGAGAGCTATTGATTTACGACTGGCTGCAGTTAGGCAGGACCTAGCAACCGCATGTAATCGTGCTTCAGCCGCCGGTTTCTATCCTGACGCTGTCTCTGAATTAAGGCAATTTTCTGATCGATTTGGAGCCACTCGCTTGAAGTAAGTATTTTTTATATCATCTATTATCCGATGGGTCTTTCCAATGAAGCATTTACAAATACCGACTAGAGCCCTTTCAGACAGAAAAGGTAGGCACTGTAGGGCGCCAGCCGATGAGACAAAGTAAAAACTCTGTTTCTACTACTAACGATCTTCCCTGGATTAGGAGCATCCTTTCAAGGCTGATATGATATTAAGAAGGCTTCTAATATGCTACCATGACATTAGCAATCTCTAATACAGTTTCCATGCACTCGCCTTGTCGTGGACATGCACACATCTGCTCTGACTTGAACGCAAAGTACTCAAAACTAACTTTTCCCCGGTTTTGTACGATTTCCAGGAAGGAGCTACTGAGAGCTATTGATTTACGACTGGCTGCAGTTAGGCAGGACCTAGCAACCGCATGTAATCGTGCTTCAGCCGCCGGTTTCTATCCTGACGCTGTCTCTGAATTAAGGCAATTTTCTGATCGATTTGGAGCCACTCGCTTGAAGTAAGTATTTTTTATATCATCTATTATCCGATGGGTCTTTCCAATGAAGCATTTACAAATACCGACTAGAGCCCTTTCAGACAGAAAAGGTAGGCACTGAATCATGAGTTCTATCTTTTCCAAAATACCGACTATCCAAATTTTCGGTTTTTACAAATCAGCATATTCTTGTATCCGTTGTTGCTTGGTGTACTATGCGGTTGAGGTTTCTAGTCTCTCAACCTTCATGTTTGAGCCTCAGACTTCTAGTGATGGCTTTGATGCTTTTTGTGAAACTTGAACTCGTGTGATGCTGACATGTGTTTCGGTATTTCGCCTAAACAAACCTTAGACTTCAAAACTGGTAGGCCTAATTTCTGTACGATTTCCTAAAAATGTATACATGTATATATATAGTCTCCTATGTATCTTTAATGGCTGACACACTTTTTCCATAAACAGAAATCTGAACAGACATTCTATACGCCTCAGTGGATTTTAGATTTTAGGTAGGGTTGGTCTGATGGAGACTTTAGAACTGCTTTTAGGTGGATGAAGATGATTTCTTTGATGACTTGGATGGCCAAATGAAACTACAAGATCTGGATATCATCATTTAGTTACTGAAAGTCAAGGCCACTTTTTTAGCAGAGGCCTGGCCCTTGTATATCTTCAAGAGTTCCAATTGTGTATCGGTTTTTCTTAATTTTCAGTGAAGCATGCACCAGATTTATCTCACTTTGTCAAAGAAGGCCAGAGCTCATCAGTTCTATGAGAGCCACTTTAGAAGACGAAGGCATACGAGCTTCTTGTGGATCTGATATGTCTAAAGATGATCAGAGCGAAGACCATTCTGGAATGGAGGAATCTCAACTTCCGACTTTTCACCAGTCCAGATCCAGTCTCAACTTTTTCATGCAACAGAGTAGCGACCAAAGTGAAAAGAATGAAGAAGAGGATAAGGGTCCAAAGGTGAATGAGCAATCGGCAAGTCAGACCAAACAACTCACAAGAAGGCTTAGCGTTCAGGATAGAATCAATCTCTTTGAGAACAAGCAAAAAGAGGGTTCGAGTTCTGGAGGGAAACCAGCTGTATGCAAAGCCATGGAGGTGAAAAGACTCTCTTCTGACTTACCGTCTTCTACGGGTATGGAAAAGTCTGTGTTACGGAGGTGGAGTGGTGCTAGTAGTGACATGAGCATTGATTTGGGAAATGACAAGAAGGACGGTGCTGATGATAGTCCATTGTGCACAACCTCATTCTCCAAAGATGGAAGCAATATATATCCAAAACAATCTGTCAACAATGGCCAAAAAGCTCAAAATGGTTTGAGTGATTCTGCAAACTCTCACAGAGTCGAGGAAAAACATAGTTTTGACGTTGTTGGTGATCCGGGATTGATGGACCAAGTAGAGTTTCAGAATTCGAGTTCTATTTTCTTGAAGGTGCAATTGAATATGAACAGTGGGAACGGAGGAACGGAGGAAACTCAGAAGAAAGAGCTTATATCTTCAGATAGGAATCCATCATTGGCTGAAGAGAAATCAGTTTCTGCAGGTTAGTGGTTGATGGAGTAATGCGATGAAGTTTTTAGTTCACCAGCAATTTGCTGCATTATCTTTCTTTCTTTCTGTATGCTTAACTATGGTCACCCTCTCTCTTCAGTGGCTTCTCTCTCCTCTTTCTTCGTATGCTTAAAATGATCGTGACCACTAAAAAATTGATCGTGATCATCCTTGGAGAATTTATCTCCTTTTCAAGAGCTGTTGTCTTTTTTGTTTCTTGTTTCTTTCCCTTTAATCTGGTCTTGGAAAATTAGCAACTCTCCATTCTGATTATTTTCTTGCACTTTCTTTCTTTTAGTTTCTGAACAGATGAAAAGGGCTTATGATCCAAGCACTGGAATTTGTTCTGCTGATGAGATTGTTTCAGAGAATGATGCTCTGATACGTCCATTGCCATCGGAGGAGCACGTACAAAGGGCTAGACCAACAAAGGGAAATCAAAAACTGAATGACGAGTTGAAAACGAAAGCGAACGAGCTTGAAAAGCTATTTGCTGAACATATGCTCCGTGTTCCTGGGGAGCAATCCAGTGCTTCTCGACGAAGCAAGTCCGGTGGAAAGCCGAGTGAACAGCTTAGAAGCCCTGCAGCTCCGGAATCGTTTCCTCCACAACTACCCGATAGGAAGACAATGGCGAAACCTGCTTTAAGATCAAGCGATTCAGACAACTTCAGAACTCCACCAAGAACGAAGATGGTTGAGAACATTGATTATGGGGATACTATGAGGCAGAGATTTCCTGATCTCAGCTTTTCTGGTGATTCAAAAGGAAAGTTTTACGCAAAGTATATGGAGAAAAGAGACGTGAAGTTGAGGGAAGAATGGAGTTCTAGAAGGTCTGAGAAGGAAGCCAGATCGAAGGCAATGCAAGACTTACTCGATCACAGAAGTGCTGAGATGAAGGCCAAATTTTCTACTTCTGCAACAAAAAGTGATTCAAATGCCCGACGAAAAGAGAAACTCGTGTACTTCAAATCTATGTCGGATGCTAAAAAGGAACAGGTACTTACGTTTTTCTGCAACTGAAGACTACTTGTAATAACTTATGTTTTCTAATTAATCTGATAATGTAATGTTTTGACTTTTGATAGCATCCAATCAGCTCATTTCAGAGTGAAGAAGATGAGGATGTATCCAAGAGCTCTCGGAATAAGAAGCTTCAACAAAACAGAAATCATATCTTGACTATTCGAACTCCGGCTGCATCAGCTTCACGGTCAGAAGCTAAAGTTTCTACAACCAGAACTGTGAGGAGGAGAGGGCAATCAGACAAACCTCTTGCACAATCTGTCCCTAACTTCTCTGACATCAAGAAGGAAGGCATGAAGCCATCCTCCGGAGCTGAAAAAACAGGTCCCCGTTCACAGGCGAGAAATCTTGCCCGACCCAAGAGTATAAATGAAGAAGAAAAGCTGCTGAGACAGGTAAACCTCGGGAAAACTGCTTCTGAAGCTGCTGAGTTGGCAGAGTGGTCTCTTACAAAGTTTGATGATGATGTCGCTGTCCCTCTGAATCTTGACCAGGAGCAAAATGATAGAGAATGTAGCAATCTTGGACTCAGTATCTGTTCTGATATTGCCAAGGTAAAAGCTTCAGCGGGATCAGAAAGTTTCAGAAATGAAGGGAAGTATAGTGAGCATGCCCTTGATGAGTCTGAGGGATCAGAGGAAATGGGGAAAGAGGTGGTGGAAGAAGATCTTGAGGCCATGGAAGTGGAAGTCTGTACCGATACAGAAAATGTGAAACAAAGACTAAGCCAAGGGTTTGAGGATGCCTCAAATGCCCAATTGCCTGTTACTATGTTGACTTCAAGGCGTCAAACCGTTGCCTCGTTGATGGATTCACCGGGTGAAAGCCCAGTTTCTTGGAAGCATCAATTTTCATTTCCAAACAAGGCCTCTGATTTTGATCCTTCTGTGGATTCTCCAGTGGGTAGTCCCTGGAATTTTCCTTCTCTTAACCAAATGGAGGAGGATGCAACTCAAATGAGAAAGAAATGGGGAGGAGCTGCCCAGAAACGTGTAGCTGCTGGTAACAATCCATATCATAACCAACCCCGAAAGGACGTGACAAAAGGGTTGAAAAGGCTACTAAATTTTGGAAGGAAACCCCGTGGAACGGAGAGTTTGGTCGACTGGATATCAGCTACAACATCTGAAGGAGACGATGATACAGAAGATGGTGGAGATCCTGCAAATCGATCATCAGAAGACTTGAGAAAGTCTAGAATGGGATTTTTACAGAGTCATCCCTCTGATGAGAGCTTCAACGAGAGCGAACTGTTCAACGAACAACAAGGTAACCTGTTCTTTACCGAACTACTTGTTGCATGATCAAGTAAATGTCGGCTCAAGAAAAGAACCTTCCGGACAAGGTTTTGATATGTTCTTGTGAACTTCATATCCTAACCTGCTTCTGGATTCTGTGTTCATGGCCATCTGGGTCATGAATTATGTGACCTAATCTCAGTGCTTCTTGTTTCAGCTGGTGATTCCATCCCAGCTCCTCTGATGAACTTTAAAGGTAATCACTTGTTCTGTTCCCGAGCCGTCCTTGTCTTTACACACTTGCTCTATCTCATCATGACTAGATTGCGCTAACATGCTAAGTTCTGTTCTATCTGATAAGCCATAGATCTTATCTCCTGATCCATCGATAAGCCACAGATCTTATCTCCCGGTCCGTCCGTAATCTTTTGCTGATTGATGCAGCCCCAAGGTCGTTCTTTTCGCTCTCCAATTTTCGTAGCAAGGGAAGTAGTGATTCAAAGCCAAGATGAAGAGCTCGAGATTCAAGTTCTTGCAATCAATAAAAATCTCATTCGACGACATAGAGGAGCGATATATACACATATATATATATACATATATGTATAAATATATATGTGGTAGGGATGACATGAGCATGAGCGTGAAATATTCTGCATGCAATATTATGTGCTTGAATATTACCTCTGTCTGCGAATATTATGAATAAATAGTCATAATTCTTTTGTTACAACTGATGTAAAGATTAAAAAGAATATAACTTGGAGATAAAGTAATTTTGATTGTTATACATTTTGTTTCAATTCTTTTTAGAATTTTTCGCTTTTTAATTGAAAATATATCCATAAAATTCAGAGAAAAAATCACTGGGATTATAAATATATTTCTAATAACCCTAGTGTTTAGAATATTTTAAAAATACTAATTCTTTTTTATTAGAAAGCTCATTGGTTTAACAAAATTAAATTCTGATTGGATTTTACATCATCTAGTAAATGATCTATCTATCCTTATGCTTGCGTTTAGATTCAAATTTATGATTTAGTTTTAAATATAATTTTGTACTTAAGTCATTTAAAAAATAATTTAAAACAAATACTTTCACAATTTTAATTTAAACCATCGTTTATATATATGTTAAATGAATCGATATATTCAAATTTCCCATCTTCCTTTTCTTTTGTTTTTTTTTTTAATATTTTTCTAAATGAGATATGGTTTTATTTTGTGTTTACATGTCATGTTTTCAACTTATTCAACAGACCACGGTGAATGGGCCTATTTCACCCAAAGTAAATAACGGGCCGTTTGGGTCTGGCCTAAAGTCGTTTGGGGCTGAAGAGCAGGTTCTAAAATTTCCCCACGCGCATGATGCGCGAGTACATCCCAAACGCCTGAAATCCCTGGACAATTTTTAAGTTTCCGATCATTTAAGCGCGTGGGAAAAAATACGTCTTTTTCTTTGAATGTTTTTTTTAATAAAATTTTTCTTTGAATGCTATTATTAGTTAATTAGATAATTACCATAAGAGAAAAAAAACTACGCATGCAATTTAGTTATATATTTCTGAGAGATTTCAAGTATGATGATTATGTCTTGTAATTATAAGCATTATTGTTAATAATATACAATAATAGATAAACCGTCTCTTTAAGAAATAAGATTAGAAATAAGATTATGTTTTCTGGACAGCCAACTACTTTTATTACATTTTTTTATAATTTGAAAGTTTATCGAATTTTTGACCCGATTACATCTTTTAAAAGAGCGGAAAAACCCATAAAAATATCTTTCCTTAAGTGATGTCTATTTTTGTTACTGTTGATAATGAAATTTTCTGGAAACACCATTTTTTCGAGATAAATTTTCTGGAAACTGTCGATATTGAAAGAAATCAAAATAAACAAACAGAAAAAAAAAACTTAATTTCCCAATTTGTGAAATAAATAATATTATGTAAAAGCTAAAAAAAACGTGAAACTTTTTCAGTATAAGTGTTGGTCCATTGTGGTTGAGATCTAACGAATGCTAAGACGATGATTTGGCAACTACTTTTGTCATAGTTGATAATAAAATTCTGTAATCACCATTTTTTCCCAATATAAATACATAATTGTTATACAGTATTAGAGACAAAAAAAACTAAATAACGAAAATATATCTATAATATATATATATATATCCCAATAAAATATCGAAATTGGTATATATCTCTAATATGTAGATTATTTTATAAACAAAATCGTTTCAAAACAAGAATTCAGTGAAAGTGTCGGTATTAGATTAATGATGTTTTGAAACTTTATTAGTCCGTTTTCAAGTAAGAAACACTCTATTATAACTATTTACGACGTTAATAGTCATCTCAAACTTTATTAATCCATCATTTAAATTTTTTTACATCAATACACATTAAAACTACTCTTTTTTTTATCATCTTTTAACTTAACAAAAACTTATTAAATTCTCATTTTTTCATTTTAAAAAAAAGACTTAATCTAATCCATTAATCTACCTTATAAAGGTTTATATAAAAATCGATTAAAACCTTTGTTTTACGATATTTTACTTTAAGTAAAGCTTATTAAACTTTTATTTATCATTTTCAAATACGAATGACGTTGTTCTAACAATTTAAAATATTATGAACTATTTACAATTTTATTAAACTCTCTTTTACGTTTTGATATTAAAATCCGTTTTTATAATCTTTAAACTTAAATAAACCTTATTAAACTTTCATTGATTTCAAAATAGAAAAAAACCATATTATAACTATTTCGATATTATTATCTTTTTGAATTTTATTAGAATTTCTTTTAACTTTTTTTATATGAAAATAAAGTAGAACTACCAGCTAGTATTTTTTTTATTAATGAAAGCTTATTAAATTATCATTTATTAAGTCAATGATAAAACAAGAAACCTAACCATTTACATGGCTTTATTAGATCTTAAAAAAGATTTGTATATCAATATCGCCTAAAATTAACTTTTTGTGTATATATAATTCCTTTTGAAAATGTATCAATTTATAGTTTGTTTCATTGTTTTTTTTTATCATTTAGAGCTATTTGTAAACCAACCTAAAATTTTAATCTATTCGCACACTAGTTTTTATTTTTCTTTTTGGAAAGTAACATTTTCAGGCATTAGGTACAAGTTAACTCTTAAAAATTAAATACTAAAACAAGAATTTCCTAATATATATATATATATTTATATATATATATATTTTTGTGGATGCATTGGGATGATAGATATAGTGATGAAGAAGCAAAAGTGGGACAAAAGAATATAATCCTCACCTTCCCAAAAACCTCCGTTTCATCTTCCTCCCAGAGAGACGTGAGGTTGACGTAGAAGAAACCACAGCGAAGTCCCCAAAATACCCCTGATCCAAGGTCCACCGACAACAACAATGGGCCTCCAAGCAAGGGGTAGATTTGTAATTACACCCCAAGGACGGAGGAGGAGCAACAAGAACATGAAGACTTAAAAGCCAAGTGAACTCGATGATGTTACTTACCTGACATGCAAAGACAGAGATGCTCAATCATGACATTGTCACAGGTGAAAGTTTCCATTCCAATGCCAAAATCTCTCCTTCTCTTGTTATAGATTCCCTCTCTCTCCCTCTCTCTCTGGAATTCTTAAAAGGTTACCTGCTTGTTCATCTGAAGCAATCAATCCAGAAGTTTTGATCTTTTGCACCAATCTGGTCGGTTCTGTTCCTGGTTTTTGAAGGTTTTCAAGAATGGCGTCTCTTACGCCGGGAGTGTTACTGAAGCTTCTTCAGACCATGAACTCCAATGTCAAGGTCAGAGGAGAGTACCGGTCTGTTCTCTTGCAGGTGATCAGCATTGTCCCTGCTCTTTCCGGTTCTGAGCTTTGGCCAAACCATGGCTTCTTCATCAAAGTCTCGGATTCATCTCACTCGACATACGTTTCATTGACGAATGAAGACAATGAACTCATCTTGACCAACAAGCTGGGACTGGGTCAGTTCTTCTACGTCGACAAGCTTGAATCTGGAACACCGGTTCCTGTTCTGGCAGGAGTGAGACCGATCCCTGGACGCCACCCATTTGTCGGGAATCCAAAGGACTTGATGCAGATGCTGGTTCCAAGTGAGGGGTCTGTGCAAAGAAAACCCAATCATAAGGTGATGAATCTGATTTCCCATTCTCCAGAAACAATCTCAGAGTTCAGATCTTGAGCTTACCTCTCTACCGATACCCATTTCTCTGGATTGTTTTCTTCGACAGAAGGATGATGCAAGCTCAAAGTTGAGGGAGACGGTGAAAGCAAAAGAGGAGAAGAGTTCAAGACATCATCAGCCAATTGTCATCAAGGAAGAGAAGACCGGTGTGGCGTCTAGATATATGCAGGGTGTATCAAATCCAAAGGCGAGTGGGTCAGATACGAGTAGTGGCGGTAGCAGCAGCAGCAGCACAGAGGGTGATAATGGAGCTGGTCCGGCTAAAGGGCTTGGCGGGTCAGTAAAGGGTAAACAACAAGAACTCAGAGGTCAGGTGAGGGTTTCTGAATCGATTTCCATCCTCTCAAAATAAGCAAATCTTGCAGGAATATAAGATGTATCACTCCACCAAAATATGAGCGAAAACCCGTAAAATTGACATAGTTTATGGTTTCACCTGGATTTGACGCGCACACAGGCACGTCCAGCTGGTCCTGCACGCTCTCGTCCTGAACCAGTAAAGGCAGAGTCTACTGAACCGAAGGCCAGAGAGGCTGCAGCCCGTTCGAAGGCAATGCTGTTGAAGCGGCCAACGAGTAAGCAGGAAAATCGGTCCATCAGCTCCAGACCAGATTGTGTAGGAAGGAATGGTGATGCATCTGAGGCAGTTTCATGGAGCTCTCTGCCTGTTACTCTCTCGAAACTGGGAAAGGTATGCTTTCAAAAATCTCTTATCTCCTTTTCTTTCTAAAAAAAAATCTTTTTTTTCATCATCTTGTTCCTCACCATTGATAATTTTTTGACACAAGGGAATGCTTAGGAGGAGAAATTTGGCTGCTCTGATAGCTGCAGAAGCACAGAGAGAGGCATTGGCTGCTTCACATCTTGTCAGATGTCTCAGGCAAGTGTTCCTTCCTACCAAACAAAGAAAAAACCAGACATATATAACAATGAAAATCAGATTTAAAAAAAAGGTATTTCGTAACCGAAGAGACGATGTTTTGCAGTATGTTTGCTGAACTCAGTTCAGTTGCTTCACCAGAGGATCCACACACCTATCTCTCCAAGTTCTTCATGCTCCAGAATTGCATTGACCAGTCACATGCCACAACCTCAACAAGAGAGAAACCGCTCCAGCTTTCGTCACCAACCGAGCCTGAAAATCGGAGCAAAAAGACCAAACAGGTTTCGAGTAAAACCACAGCGAAGAACTCGAAATCTCCGACAGTTCTAACGGAAGCCGAAAAGCTAGAATGGGTACAAGGAAACGGTACAGAAGATACCAAAGAACTTAGAAACACTATCAGTTTCGAAACAAGAAGCTGGTTCTTGAGATTCTTGGAAGAAGCAATAGATGCGAGGTCTCGTGATAAAGCTCTGGAGAACAAAGGAAAGGCAAGAGGAGGGCGAGTGCCAGAGCCAGATAATCATATCGCCGAGACACTGTCACAGCTAAAGCAAGCAAACGAGTGGTTGGAGAGAGTTAAAACCGATCTAAACCCGAAAGATAATGCTCTAGCCGAGACTATAGAGCGGTTAAAGAAGAAGATGTACTCGTGCTTGCTGCTCTACGTAGATTCAGCTGCATCCGTCCTTGAGAATCGAAATGCTCGTGATTAACAAGATAAAACACGGTTTAGCTAGATTAACAGCTGAGGAAATACGCCGAACATTGGTGATAAAATAATTTAACCATTAACGTGTTCTTAGTGTCTACCAACTTGGAACAACCTCCTGTATACAAGATGCTGAAGTAAAACAGAAAACATGTCAATTTAATTTAGTTTACACAGTACTAAACAGGTATATGTCTATGAAGAACATGGTTTTTGCCATGGTTTTCCTCAAAGAAGATTTTTTTTTTCAGATAAAGAAAATATAGAAAGCCCAAATGAAGAGCCCTAAAATAGTACGCATCCAAGCAGAAAGATGCGATTTTTGACGACTTCTTCGACTCTAGCATTGAGAACAAGAAACGGAAGAAAGCATCAAACCCATTAATTCAACGAAATCAGCAAAAATCTCAGAAGATTACGTTCTTATACATAACCTAGGAGCTGTATGATCAACGATGGAAACGCCGAATTACAGAGAAAGACAGAAAGGGGCATCATCGAGATATGAAGTACCGGGCTTTCACTTTTCCGGCGATCGAACTGGAACCGGAGTTCGGAGCGCCACGGCAGTTCATGGATTTACCGCCGGATTCTCACCGAAGGCCATCGCTTTGGTGGGTCGATTCGAAATCCTCCAAATTTCGAATCTTAAAATAGTCCATTCGGTTTTCGAGCATCGTCGTAGAAGAAAAGTTCCCCCCTTTTTTCAACGTTGCTCGCGGAAGAACACCGTCAGTCGACGGTGCTGACTCAGCCTGCCACGTGGCAAATACATCGACTTCAAACACTCTGACGGGTTCAGCGGGTTCGAGGTGATTTGAAAAGCACGTGTCTTTTGTCGTTGTTTATTGTAATCTCTCTGCTTCGGACATGGTTCGGTTCCTGACGGGCGGAGCTAGGGAAATATTTAAAAGGGGCACAACTTATTTTATATTTATTTAAAATTTTATAAAATTTATAAAAAAATCTTGATATATTTTTATAAGATCATTGGGGGTATGTGCACCCCCCATTCCTCTTGCTTTGGCGTCCGCCCTTCCTGTCTGTATTAATTGTACTTACCCAAGAGTTTATCGATGGAGTCTTCATCTTCATCTGTTTCAGGGTTTGCTCCTCCTGGTGAGGGTGGAATCTGGGTGCCAATATCAAGGTTCTTCCCATTCTTTTCTGGTTTTTTTTTTATGGGTTTGTCAAAAAGCAGATTTGTTCTTAGAATCATGAACAACATCAGACGTTTTTCCTTAAAGGATATAATTGTTCTTGAGTCCATCTCTCGTGCATTTACTGGGAATGATTGATGAACTTGAAGATCAAACTTTTCAAATGGGTAACTTCTGCGTCTTTTTGAGTGAAAAATGGATCCTAGTGATTGATTAACTGAGGATGAATCCGTGTATCCTCTTATTATCCGTTCTAGACCAATGGCTGATGAAACGGTAAACGTGAACGAGTTTCAACAACTGGCGAAGAAGATCCTTCCGAAAATGCATTACGATTTCTACGCTGGAGGATCTGAGGATCAACACACGCTCAAGGAGAATATCGAAGCTTTCCATAGAATCACGTACTGTGTTCTTTGATATGGAGATTGCTCAGCTTTTGTTTCATGGTTTAAATTTCTTAGGGCATCCTTTCTCAGGTTGCGGCCGAGGGTTCTAACTGATGTCAGCAGAATCGATATGTCTGTAAGTATATTAGGTTACAGAATCTCAGCTCCCGTCATGATTGCCCCGACGGCTAGACATAAGCTGGCTCATCCACAAGGTAATAGTCATACCTCTTTATCTTATGATGTCTTTCATCAAATGATATAACCGGATCGATGGTTCTAAAGGGTTGTGATCCGATTTTTGTGCATCGAGTAGGAGAAATCGCCACGGCAAGAGCTGCAGCTTCCTCTAAAACCATCATGGTTAGAAAATGTAGAAACTATTTCGTTCTTTTTGTCTGTGGTTTAATGTTGTGATCGACTATGGTAATTTTTGTTTGAATGTATTTCAGATCGTATCTTACATGTCTACTTGCACGGTCGAGGAGATCGCTGCTAGCTGTAACGCTGTCCGGTTCCTTCAACTATACGTAGAAACTGATCTCTCTAAGCTTTTTCTTGCGGGAGTGGATGTATAAACGTTCTTAGTTTTCGGTGTATTGATTCTTTAGGTGTTCAAGAAGCGAGATATAACTGCTCGGATGGTGAAAAGAGCGGAAAATTCCGGATACAAAGCCATTGTTCTGACCGTAGATGTTCCTAGACTCGGACGAAGAGAGGCAGACATAAAGAACAGGTTTTTACGCTGTTTCTGGACGTTTGCGCACCGGGCTGCCCTATTACGATGAAAAAATGTACACGCTTTTTTAATCCGCAGGATGATTTCTCGGCAGCTGGAGAATTTCAAAGGGTCGATATCAACGGAAGTAGGATCTGTGAGTAGCGGTTTCGATGAAAAGCGTTCACTCGTAGTCATCGATCTCACGACGATACCTTTTTCTTTTGGTTGCAGAATAAAGGTTCTGGGATCGAAGCTCTCACTAGTAACCTGTTCGATGCATCCGTAAGTTGGAAGGTAAAAAGCCACGTAAAAACAATTTCATCGATTCGCATTCGTGCTCATGTATATATTTTTGCAAGTTCAAAGTTTTATACGGAATTTTCTCTAAGTACAATCATTTCATTGGACTTGGAGCTCATTTTCTTGGATTGGAAATTCTTTTTTCAGGACATAGAATGGTTAAGATCTGTCACAAAGCTGCCTATACTGATCAAAGGCATACTAACCAGTGACGATGGTAATATTTCATGTTTTGTAATCTCGGTTGGGTCTCTACTAATACACAAGAAGGAATTTTCCGAATATTAGAGAGGGTGGGAACCCCCTCGAAATCCGAGTATTCTCAGATTCCCGATTTTTCGGGTACTTGAGCAAAACGGGTTCAAGTTCATATAATTATTTTGGTGAAAACTTCGGATTCATGTTTGAATAACCTAAAAATTTTCGGGTATCCGATTCGTGTTCGCTAGCTAGTTATAATATAGAGCTTTGGTTTAATGTTTAATGGCAGCGGTAAAGGCGGTTGAAGCCAGAGTGGATGGAATTATAGTGTCAAATCATGGAGGACGACAACTCGACTACACTCCCGCCACCATAACCGTTCTGGAAGAGGTAACTCACACATTACCCATCTTCGGATTCCATTGTGCATTAAAAGCCCATTGGAACTTGCTTTAGAAAGAAACGATATCAGTAAAGGTGGATGTGAGTGGGTAACTTTAGATTCTCGGGTAATTTGGCCTCGGTCTCACTCCCTCGGGTTTTAGGGTTCAGAGGTCTCGATTTCGGCCTTGTGAAGACCGAGGCCCCGCGAGGGCTCGGTACCCCCAAGGCACTTGGCTGGCCAGGAGTGAGATCACAAGACCATGAGTCACAAGGAGGGAGAAGAAAGGGCGAGAACGCCAAGATGGGGAAAGAAGTCGAACGCATGCCTAGGATTACGAGGATCGACAAGCTAAGATTGTGAGGCGAGGCCAGAGCAAAATTGCCCTCGAAACCCCTCGAGGCTCAGATCACGGAGGGAGAACGACAAATGTGAATGAAATCCCTAATTTAAGGATTTCAATTTAAAACCCTAAGTAACCGACCCGAACCCCGTCTACCCTATTCCTCGACACAAAAACTCAAACCGGAACCCAAGGTTCAGGTTTCCATCGCTATTCCTCGAGACCATATTCGGTAGTGCCGCGTGTTTTGAGTACCCATGGGATAGGTACCTGAGGGTCAACAGATTCCGAGTAAAAATGCCCATCCTTAGTTACTTGTTCCTTTGCTAAGAGTTCTTGCAGGTCGTTCACGCTGTTAAAGGGAAGATTCCGATTTTGGTTGATGGAGGAATAAGACGAGGAACCGACGTTTTCAAAGCATTAGCCTTTGGAGCACAAGCTGTACTCGTAAGCTCTTAAAAAGACTTAGGATTATTTTTTTCGGGTTCTCGACTTCGAGGGCGAAAAATGAAAACTTTCCGATGATTTTTCCGTAGATCGGGAGACCTGTAATCTTCGGACTGGCGGCTAAGGGAGAAGACGGAGCAAAACAAGTGATTGAGATGTTGAAGAATGAGCTTGAGACTACAATGGCACTCTCTGGCTGTCCCACCATTAAGGACATAACCAGAAGCCATGTCAGGACCGAGCACGAGACACTTCTTCAGTCCATGCTCTAATTCAACATATGCTTCAATTCAGAAAATAAAAAACAATTTTCATATTAAATCACGTGCTTAGAAATCATTCATAAGACATGTTTTATATACTGATGATGCTACGATCGTGTTAGAGAGAGTCTAGAGAAACATACCAAACAAATGGGGGTATTGGCCTCCATCCACATCTCATCGAATGCGGGTACAATAGACTTCCATTCCAAATCCTACTTATTGAATATCAACGTTATGGCTTACAAATAAGATACATACCTACTCATATAACTGCAGATAAACATTATATACATAGCGGCATAACGAGTGAAACATATGTATATGTATAGAAAGATAGATCTCTGGACATATAGGACTGACTCCGAGAAAATTGTGTACCGGATGGATTTTATGACAGGTAGTACAAGAGTTGCTGGTTCTGTAAGCCACCGTCGTAAATGGCAGCACTTGCTACGGCTGCACCAACTCCGAGAGTCGTCGCCTGCTTGAGAGGGTGCATTGGGGGTTCATCATCTTGCTCATTGCCAATTGTTGCTCATAGGCTAAGAGCTCGGCTGCCGATAGGCCCAGGATGACTTGTGCTGATGCCGGTGGGAGAAGTGGGTTTGAGGCCGTTCCTGGTGGAGTTGGCTTGTTTCCCCAAAAACACTACAATAAATACCAGAGAAAAATTAACAAATACAAGTTTTACAGTTTCCAAAACTCCACAAAAAATGGTGATAAACCTCATTTTTGACAACCTAAACTAGTGAGCAAAATCTCTAGGGAAGCCAAATGATGTGAATTTTGGGAACAGTCAGATCAGAGTCATCATCAATATGAAGAGGTACCTTTATCTGTCTGTTGAAGAGTTAAGGCTAAGAGTTGCCCATTTGAATAGCGAGAGCAGCCTCGGCATGAGTGCTATATCTAACAAAACCAAAGCCTTTGTCTCGCTGGACACGGACCTCTTTGATAACTCCAGCACCTAGGGCATGGAAATGGCGGTGTAGTTCAATCTGATTTACCTGCAAAAGGTACAAATGTAGCAAAGGTACCATCCATCATCCATTGATAAAAAAAACAAAATTCATAAAAAAAATGCCTAAGAGCTGTGTGTCGGTAGTATTGGACAAGCTCAAAAGAACTAGTCAAAATCCTACCTCGGGAGCAAGGTTCTCGACATAAACAGTAGTGAACTGAGGATTGTTTTCAGGAGCATCCTCGTTTGCTGTCTCTTTACCATCCTCCACTAAAATCAGTGATCAAACAAATGTATTAGTACTAAGATTTTTAATCAATGTACTCCTCATGATTTTCTATGAAGCCAGTGCAAGGAAAAATTCAGAAACTGCACAAAAATCGAAGGAAAACCATAGAAGACAAACCTGAAGAGCCATTTGTAAATTCAACAACACTATTTACATCAGAGCTTTGCTTGTCTTCACAAGGTGTTGCACCTTTTGTGTCGCCCAGTTGCATCTAATCTGTTTGCTACCCAACCATTTACTTGAGAAAAAAGCAATGTTATCAATAGCGTATGGTAATCCATTGTGTCGAGCAAAATATAGGTCATGAATATATATGGTGGACGTCATGGCGGTTCAAAATATATATATTAATATTTAAAAGGATAAATAAAATAAATTATCATTATAATATAATATTAAAACTAGTATAATAAAGTATCAATCCATATAAAAATAAGAAGATAAATGTCTAGCATAACAAAAGATAAATAAGATAGTTTCTAAAACTAAAACAATAAATCGAACATCATTATCGGTAATCTCTAATTCGGTGTAATCAAAATATTCATAATTGACCAGTGGTGTATCTCCTTCTTCTTCTTCTCTTTCTAAATCTTCCAAATTAACTTTTTCTTCCAATTATTTCTCGTTACCTTCAAATTCTTTTTCAATCAAGATACATTTTCCTTTTGTCTTACCACTAGAAGTAGATAATGTTGAACTTGAAGTCTTCTTTCCTCTAGATTATTGCATAACTTCTAGATTATTGCCTAGTATTCGCTCTAGGTTCTTCAAGTCCCGATTCTCTATAAACGGTTTTCCAATCTAATTTGTCATCCCCTTCGAATACCAAACCGTTTCCACCATCATCTTCACCATTGTACATTTCTCTAACTAACCACTCATTACACATATCAATCTCATCTAGTATAATTGGATCGATCTCATCATTAATATGTATCTTTGAACAAGAATTTGATTATATTTCACATAAACCAAGTTATGCAACCTTTTGTGTTCAAGCCTAACTTTTTTTAGAATGAATATGCACAAATAATAAAATTATATTCACACCATGAAGCACTACTCAAACTTAAAATCTTCATTGCCAAATCAAACTTAAAATCTTCATTGCCAAATCTTGCAAATTTGGAGTTGATCATCCATAATTTTTCCAGAGTTACATAACCAAAAAAAGTAAATATAAAAAACTTAAAATCTTAGATTGGAATGGAGCATTATCAAAAATACCATCTCTTTGCTATTTTGACTTTAACACATACATTTCTCCACCTATGACCCATATGACCGGAGATTAGTCCGGTCACATATTGATCTCATTGGTCATAACGTGTAATTTATAATGTTTTTATCAAATGATTAGTGAGATATGCAAGGGATAAACATAATGAATTAGTGTGATCACTATAAGTTTAACGTTATGATCAATGAGATCAAAATGAAACCGGACTATATTTCTGATCACATAGATCACAGTTGGAAAAGGGTATGTATTGAAGTCTAATTAGAACGCAAATGTTTATATTCTTTTTACCTGTAAAGATGGTCTTCCTTTGTCTTATCGCAAAGTCAATTCCAAAATGACCATTAGCTGATCTATAAGTCGAAAGCTCGCCCACAATTTTATTTTGCAAATCTTGGAATCACACCAATCTCCAAATATAATGGTACAATACATCATCCATATTTCTCTCAAATCCAGGGTTGCTATAGAAGTATTCAGGATTCAAATAATGACCAGCAGCATGCAAAGGACAGTGTAATTGACAATCCCATCTCTTATCGATGATTGCAATTATTATTATTGTTGAAAGACTTCTCAATGACTTCTTTTGTCTTGTCCATTGCTTCATAACTATAAGACATTGTTGTTTTCTTTTCACTATCCACAAGTCGAAACACTTGAACAAGTGGAGCCATTACCTTGAGAATGTATTTCACATTACTCCAAAATGAAGGCATAATGACAATTTTCCAACTTCTTTTCCCTTTGCTTCTTTCACCAACTTGTTTGTTCTATATTCATTGGAGGTAAACATTCTTCTAAGATGATCTGTCTCTTGAAAAAGTCTTTTCAATGTACGATAGGAAGTGGCAAAATAAGTGACGGTATGTCTTATCAATTTCCTCGTGTTTGTGAAATGTCTTAGTGAACTCAATGTACTTGAGTGGTTGTAAATGAATCCAACAACAAATATGACTCTTTTTATTATGAGCTTGATCGAAGAAATTTTCCAATGTTTTTAAGGATTAAGTCTACACAATAAGCAGCACAAGGAGACCAAAAGAGGTGTGATCTTTTTTCCTCTAACGTCTTCCCCGCTAAGACGTTATGTCCGGAAGAAGTACAAGAAGAGATGTGGGAACTTCACAAGAAAAAGAGAGCTACTGGTTCTACGGTTTGTTCCAATGAGCCTATGAAGCTTGATCTTGATGAATTGGGTTTCGGATTATCTGATGAAGAAGAAATTCCACAAGTAAAACGAAACACGAATGTTGATCTAAAAGGTCCTATAGATTTGTTTGTTAGAATACTCGAAACTATCATTTCAAAAAACAAAAAAGAAAAAATGAGACAACAAAATATTAGGCAGACGTGCGACAAAGAATCTGTTGGTGGAGTTCACCAATATATTGCAAGGTGGTGGTATCATGGTGGAACTCCATTCAATAGCATTAAGATGTTTTCAAGATATGTTACATGGTGGACACTTCGGTCCTAATCTTCCAGCTCCATCTTACCACCAAATAAAAGTGTCATTACTCACCAATGAGGTTGAATATACTAAATCATTGATGATAAAACATAAGAGTCAATGAGAGAAACATGGTTGCTCTATTATGTCGGATGCATTGACAGATAGGAAACAAAGATGTTTGATTTTTCTTGGCCTATTCTCCCACTGGCACAATGTTTATGAAGTCTATAGATGTATCTAGTTTGTGGAGACTGGTCAAAAGTTATTTGAGATGTTGGATTCTCTTGTTGAAAGATTGGAAAAGATAAAGTGGTTCAAGTGATAACCGATAATAGAAGCAATTACGTCTTCACGGGGAAGATGTTAGAGGAAAGAAGACCACCTCTTTTGGTCTCCTTGTGCTGCTCATTGCGTGCACTTAATCCTTGAAGACATTGAAAAAATTTCTTCGATCAAGTTCACAATAAAAATAAGCATATTTGTTGTTGGTTTCATTTACAACCATTCCAGTACATTGAATTCGCTGAGACAATTCACAACCAAGAGGAAATTGATAAGACAAACTGTCACTCATTGTGACGCTTCCTATCTTACATTGGAAAGACTTTTTCAAGAGAAAGATCATCTTAGAAAAATATTTACCTCCAATGAATGGAGAACAAACAAGTTGGCGAAAGAAGTAAAGAGAAAAGAAAGTGAAAAAATTGTCATTATGCCTTTATTTTGGAGTAATGTGAAATACATTCTCAAGGCAATGGTCCGCTTGTTCAGATGCTTCGACTTGTAGATAGTGAAAAGAAAATAGCAATGTCCTATATTTATGAAGCAATGGTCAAGGCAAAAGAAGTCATTAAAAAGTTTTTCAACAATGATGAAAGCTAATACAAAGACATAATTGTAATCATCGATAAGAGATGAAATTGTCAACTTCACCGTGTTTTGCATACTGGTAGTCATTATTTGAATCCCGAATAATTCTATAACAAACTTAGATTTGAGAGAAATATGGAGATGGTTGATGGATTATACCAATATATTAGGAGATTGGTGTCATCTCAAGATATGCAAAATAAAATTTTGGATGAACTTTCGGCCTATAGATCAGCTAATGGTCATTTTGTAATTGACTTTGCGATAAGAAAAAGGAAAATCATCTCTCCAGGTAAGAAGAATATAGACATTTGCATTATAATTTTGTTTGCTTTTAAAACAAATCTCAGGTTCTAAGTTTTTTATATTTACTTTTTTTTTGTTTTGTATCTCAATGGTGTGAACGCAATTGGAGTGTGTTTAAGCAAGTAAATTATTTTTCTATTGGTTTAATACTTTTTATTATTTTTATATTTAATTTACCTTAAAGCATTTATTTTATAATGTAATTATTTGTGCAGATTCATTCTAAAAAAATAAATAAACTTGAACACTAAGATTGTATAAATTGGTTTATATGAAATATAACCACTCTCTTGTTCAGATGTACAATATTAAGGATGAGATCGATTCAATTACATTAGATGAGATTGATGCATGCAATGAGTGGTTAGTTGGAGAAATGCACAATGGTGAAGATGATGGTTAGGGATGTCAATTAAGCCCAGAACCCGAAACTCGGCCCGAGCCCGCTCGAAAATTGTAAGGACATGGGTCTAGAAAATGTAGACTCATTAAACTTCGGGTTTTCGGGCCTCGGGCCAAATGGGCTGCAGGCCGATCGGGCCGGGCCAGTCGGGTTTCGGGCCGGGCTTGAGGCACGTTATTTTTTTTGTTTTTTCTAAACCAAAGTTTTACCTTTCTATATATATTTGAACCAAGTGATAAACTTTTATATCTTGGTTCTAATTAAACTTTTTAAAGTGATGGGAGTTTTGAATTTCTTAACCATATTATATCATATATATATAAGTTTATATTTTTGAAAGGGTAGAAATTTTCAAATATATATATTCTTAAACCTTTGTTTGTATATAAACATATTGATTTTTTTTTCTATAGGTTTCAAATTAATTACATCATAGAATTTCTTTTTATATTATGTTTGTTATTTTTTTATCATGTTTAAAAGTTTGTAATTGCAGGATGTAGTGTTGGAGAATTGAACAATTGGATAATTTTTTGAATTTTATTTTTATTTGTGAACTAAATGACTTTGTTGTTATCGGTTTTAAAAATATTTTTGTTGAATGTTTCACATTATTATTATTATTATTATTATTATTATTATTATTATTATTATTATTATTATTATTATTATTATTATTATTATTATTATTATTATTATTATTATCGCAAAAAAAATATTTTATTTAATAAAAAACCCGAAGCCCGGCCCCAACCCGCCCGAAGCCCTATAGGGCAGGGCTCCGGGCCATCGATCCTAGACCCGAAAAATAAATGGACGGGCCAGCCCGACCCGAAAAATTGTAGGCCCGAATTGAACCCGGCCCAAATCCGGCCCGACCCGCCCATTTTACACCCCTAATGATGGTGAAAACGGTTTGGTCTTCAAAGGTGATTATAGATTAGATTGGGAAACCATTTATAGAGAATCGAAATTTGGAGAGCCTAGGGCGAATACTAGACAACAATCTAAAGAAAAGAATGTTTCAAGTTCAACATTGTCTACTTCTAATGGTAAGACAAAAGGAAAAGGTATTTTAATTGAAAAAGAACTCGATGGTAACGAGAAAG